ATCCAGCTGATCTATTTCTGATACTGCAAAGTCCACTGACCTCCTCTCACAGCTCCTTAATTTGATGACACAGATCCATCAAGTACAGGTCTCCTGCACGTTAGAAGACCATCTCTTGCTGCCCCAGCCTCAGAAAGAGGCCATCAGGCCTACAGCTCAGGATCTGCAGAGCTGCATCCTCCTTCTGGAGCTCTGTCTGAGTCAAAATTCTCATCTTAGAGGGTCCATTGCTCCAACAGCAGTTGGGGACCGTGCCCTGTGGCATCACACTACCATTGCTGAGAAGATGTATCCTCTACTGAGAAAAGTTGCCGGTCTTCTGTACGCTGTTCTGCACAAACTGTCGTGACAACTGCTGCATGCCTTTTGCTGCCTCTGTTAGCTGCACTCAATCCTATTGATTGAGAGACTAAAATTTGCACTCATGAAAAAATATAAATATTATTTTATACATTTTAATGTGGTATAATTCTTCAGTGAGTACATCACAAAGAAGCTAAATAGTCTATCTGCAGATTTGTGAAATGCTAGCCAGTATTAGGTAAAATTTTTGTTTTACCACTTATTTCTGAAATTCACTGATGACATAAATTCTATAGACATTCTGTCAATTTAGCTGTATTTTAGAATATAAATTATTTAGACTGATTTTTGTAGGATGAAATGCTGATATGCAGTCCAGAGAAATACCCAGTCACCTGCTGTCTATTATTTTATCTAAACTTGGACACTAGATTACAGAATACAAAAGCGATTACCATGCGGTATTAAGAGTGTACAGATAAAAATATGTCCACACTTAAAGATTATGATCAATTATTCCAGTATGTCAAGTGGTAAAATTTGTTATCCTTCAGAACCATCAGTACTTAGATGTACAATAACTATTTTCAAGGTATTTGTAAGATAATCCTTTTTGAGTTAATCCTTGATTTACATACTCAGTCCTGGAATAAAAATGTTTAAAACCATACTTAAACTTTGTCTATGTATTAACAAGCATCTGAGTGTTTTTTGCCCCTGGAATAAAAAGTAGCTGATTTTAAAAACTGCTTTGAATTTATAAATAGATTAGTAAGATTCAATTCAGATCTATACTGGATGCTTCCTGAGTTTCAGTAATTTGAAACAGACCATTATTTCCAAGTGCTCTTAGTGATAAGTACATTTGACAGGTGGAAGACTAATATTTGCTTCTTGTAAATAAAATGGAAGGTATTGTCAGCATCTACCCCATCTGCTCCACTTTACTACTATCTGTATCCAATAGATAAAAGAAAATAGTAACAACAACAACCACCTCATGAAATTCAGCAAGGCCAAGGGCAGGGTCCTGCACCTGGGTTGGGGCAAGCCCCGGTATCAGTACAGGCTGGTGGAGGAAGGGATGGAGAGCAGCCCTGCCAAGAAGGACTTGGGGGTCCTGGTGGATGAAAAGCTGGACATGAGCCGGCAATGTGCAGTCGCAGCCCAGAAGGCCAACTGTCTTCTGGGCTGCATAAAAAGAAATGTGGCCAGCAGGTTGAGGGAGGTGATTCTGCCCCTCTGCTCTGCTTTTATGAGGCCTCACTTGGAGTCCTGTGTCCCAAATGGTTCAGAGGAGGGCCAAATGATCAGAAGGATGGAACATCTTTCATATAAAGAAAGACTGAGAGAGTGGGGGTTCTTCAGCCTGGAGAAGGCTCTGGGGAGACCTTATTGCAGCCTTTCAATATGTATAAGAGGCTTATAAGACATATGGGGACAGACTTTTTAGCAGTGCCTGTAGTGACAGGACAAGGGGCAATGGTTTTAAACTGAGAGAGGGTAGATTTAGACTGGATATAAGTAAGAAATTTTTTACGATGAGGATGGTGAGACATTGTGACAGGTTGTCCAGAAAAGTTTTAGATGCCCCATCCCTGGAATTGTTCAAGGTCAGGCTGGACAGGGCTTTGGGCAACCTGATCTAGTGAAGATGTCTCTGCCCATGGCAGGGGGTTGGATTAGGTATCTTTATAGGTCCCTTCCAAACTAAACCATTCTATGGCTCTATGATTCTATGATAAATAGTCTGCAGCTAAATGTAAATGCTTCCAAAATAGAGGGGAAAATTTTTTTTACAGACTTCAGGAATAGATAGTTTTTGTAATTTTACTTATTCATACATGGGAAATAATTTTAGTTCATATTCTGTGCCCATTCATGCATAAATAAAATAAAGTATGGTTATTAACTTAGGCAGTAATTCAACTATTCTCTGCATTCCAATTCCCAGGTCTTTATTTAAAACTTCTGAAAACAAACATGATGCCTTCATTGAGCTATCAATAAAGAATTAGAATGTAGAACTGTATGCCATGTATGTGGAATTTTTAAAGATGCCTAGACTTTTTCAAAGCTTAAAGCAAGGACTGGTTGAACAGACTATGAAAACTAATTTTGGTAAAGGATGTTATTATTTAAATTTTTTGAAACAAAGCAAATGTCCCCCTAAAAAACCCTAGACAAGGTCAGAGGTCATCCTATTCTAAAGGAGATCTTCTTTTTATGCTAGCAGCATAAAAATGTTAGAAAATCAAAGAAAGTGCAAGATAATATAGGAGTCTTTTTTTTTTTTTGAGGTGTTATGAGCAGTAGAAATGTAGGTCAAACACAGATGCATATGTTAAGTCTACAAACATTGGGGGAGGAGAGAACACAGAAATACTGCATAATTAATTTTCCTGAATTTAAAATTAAGCAGAAGAATAGATAGGCACCACAGGCTTGATTCAGGCAGGTATCTAGTGACATCTGAGATATCTCATTCTGCCTCTAGATGCTACTCCAGCAGATCACAGGTCTCCTGCAGATTCTGTGTAACACCTGCCAGGCCATGAATAGTTGACGGTTTCTTAAATAGTTCTAGAAGACTAATTTTCAGGAAATCAAACTGAGCAGTTATGACAGTGTTGATCGAAGAGAGCATTTTACATCTCTAAAGAAAGTTCTCAGATACAGTGTGGTAAAAACCAGCTATTTTCAAATCAACAAATCCAAAAGTCAGAAAGAAACTGGCTGATCAGTTCTCTGAATCAGACAAGCTACAGGGTAACTCATAGGAGAAAACTGAAGAATGGTAGGATGGTCAGTAGTAAGGGATTAGCCAGAGATTACTCAAACATCATAAATCAGTCAGGTTGATGCTAATCCCTAGTGAACAGATTGGGTTTGTAGCTAAAACAGAGGCCTCCTGCATCACAGAAGTACTACATGCTAAGCACAAGATTTAATTAATATTAGCTTTTTTTGAACTCAAACATAATACAGTAAGCACAGCAAACAATATATAATTTTTTTTACCCAATGGTCCTGTAAAAAAACAAATTGCTCTTGCTAGGAACATGCCACACTAACTAGGTCTTAAGCTAACTGTGCAAGGCCCCAATACTGGCCTTCTAGACTTATCAACTTGCTAAAAGAGCTTGCTGTCTGAAGTTCAATTCAGTACCAGGTGTCTCCTGTTATGATGTGAAGTTGAAGCATTGGATAATAGCAAATGTCTTGAAAGTATGAGCACAGGTTGAAAAGAAAGGTCTAAGAACTATGAACAAGCAGCTGATGGTCACCTACGGGTCATTGATGAAGGGCAACATTAAGAACTGGATAGACATAGACTGCTTTTCCTTTCAGACAAGAAGACACAATTAAGCAGGAAAGAAAAACAGCCAAGTGACACAATAAAGTACCTGCTACAGTCTGAAAAGTAACCCCACCTAAGCATCACCCAATGTATACTTCAGGGAACAGAGGTGAAGGGCTGAAAATTCATATGAAAGGAGATCTCAGATTTGAGGGCAGCAGTAGAGAAGAAAGACAAGGTCTGGGTCAGGTTCAGCTTCTGTTGTCAAAGATCCCTCAGGCTTGCTTACTTCCACCTGGGTGACTAAGACCATCAAGAATCATAGCCACCAGTGGTGACTGTGTGGCTTCAGCTTCATGTGAGAGAAACAAATCTGCATACACCAAGGTCAGTGAAGAAGAAGGAGCATGAGATGCTGGAGCAGAGATTCCCCTGCAGCCCTTGGGGAAGACCATGGTGAGGCCGGCTGTGCCCCTGCAGCCATGGAGCTCCATGCTGAAGCAGATCTCCACCGGCAGCCCAGGGAGGACCCCATGCCAGAGCAAGTGGATGCCCAAAGGAGACTGTGGCCCTGTGGGAAGCCCACACTGGAGCAGGCTCCTGGCAGGACCTGTAGCCCCGTGGAGAGAGGAGCCCAAGCTGAAGCAGGTTTGCTGGCAGGACTTGTGACCCCACAAGGGACCCAGGCTGGAGCAGCCTGTTCCTGAAGGATGGTACCCGTGGAGGGAACCAGGCTGGAGCAGTTCATGAAGAACTGAAGCCTGTGGGAAACTCATATTGGAGAAGTTCATGGAGGACTGTCTCCTGTGGGAGGGACCCCACGCTGGAGCAGGGGAAGGGTGTGAGGAGTTCTCCCTCTGAGGAGGAAGGAGCGGCAGAGACAACATGTGATGAACTGACCACAACCCCCATTCCCCACTCCCCTGCACTGCTCGGGGAGGGGAGAAGGTAGAGAAAATCAGCAGTGAAGTTGAGCCTGAGAAAAGGGAGAGGTGGGAGGAAGGTGTTTTAAGATTTGGTTTTAGTTCTCATTACCCTACTCTGGTTTTGACTGGCATTAAATTAAATTAATATCCCCAAGTCAAGTCTGTTTTGCCTGTGACAGTAATTGCTGACTGATCTCTCCCTGTCCGTATCTCAACCCACAAGCCTTTCATTATATTTTCTCTCCCCTGTCCAGCTGAGGAGTGGAGTGATAGAGTGGCTTTTGGTGGGCAGCTCCATCCAGCCAGGGTCAACCCACCACAGCACCTACATGTAACATGGTACTTCCCATCTCAACTACATTTACTTTTTCACTTCTTATGTTTCAATATTCAAGATAATTCCTTAGACCTTACTTTTAATGTAGATACAGGGGAAAAAAGTTGTCTTTTCAAATTAGCTACTTTCCTACCTGATTAAGTTTCTTCCATAGGTTGAGAACAGGAGAAAGTTCAGTAGACCATATTTCTCTGTCAAATTTGCAGCCAGCAGTTATTGACCGGCTCAGGATCCGAAGCTGTGAAATGACCTGAGTGATGAAAATACAAATACAAATCTTGAAGAAGGATAAACAAACTTCTAGTACAAAAATGTGATGCAACAGCAAATACTCTCCGCTTTATCTATGGACTATACTTTTCTGCATACTTAATTACTAACCGTGATTTATTCAAACCACAAACAATACCCATATGCAAATACAGAATATACTTAAGCCTTATTCATATTAAGCCCAAAACAAACAAAAAAATCCATATTTTTCTTATCACAGTCATTGTCTTTGTTCAACTATAATTTAAAAACTAATGAGGTTTATAATTAATTAAAAAGCCTCTTTTCCACAAAATCTGCAGACAAAACTAAAGCTCTGCTTTTAACTAAGCCCTTTAGGCTCCCTCTGTAATTAAAAAAAAGAGAAACAAAAAACCAGAATGTGTTACTAAATACATATAGTACCCATCAGGCATCAAAACTCCAAGACAATTATAATCAATTCATTCTGATCTCCCATAGATCTCTTACTTACTTAGATATTCATGTTACCTCAAATTATTTAATGTAAATTTATTAGTTTAAAGAAAGCAAGCAATTAAAAGAATAACTGCAAAACTTTCAGAAAAAAGGGGAGCTTCCAGTTCATTAGGTCCAACTGCCTTTTACTGTTAGCAACCCTTGTAACTCCACACACAAAATGATTGAACATATGTATACATTTATAAAGAAAGAATACTAAAATTAAAACTTTTCAGTGATATTGCAGTCTGTCCCTTAAACTGCATATAAACTCCCTGGTATTTTTAGGTATTCAACTAAATTTTAGTTACTTCTCACAGTGCATTTTTGCAAGACATGTTAAGAGAATAACTTACTAATTCTCTCCTCTTTTGCTTGATTTCAAATAATTAAACTTGGTAATAAAAAATTATTAATCATTCAGAAGGAATGGACTTTTGCATTAGTGGACAGAATGAGGCAGGAAGTCAAGTTTCTGCTGGGTTTTGACCTATTTTCTATTCTTGAAAGATGTGCTATTATGTAGTGTTTTCTTTATTTTTAATTTTCTTTCACTGAAGCAAACAGCAGCTTCTTATTTATCAGCTTTGATAGGGACTATGAAGCACTACAAGATGATACTACACTGAACCATTATTTTAATGTCTATAATATTTACGGTAATTTTATTCTTATATTAAATGTCTTACAAGACATAAACCAAAAGATAAATATACATGAAGCATAAATATATAAAATCTATCAGCATAACATATAAACCTATATTTAGAGAAACAAGTTTAAAAATACTTTAAATTAAGTTAAAATAGTGTTCTTTTCTTTAAAAGCTTCCTTAATATGTTAATTCTGAAAAAATCTTTAATTCCCTCAGAAATGACAACATAAACTGTTGTCCTGGAGAATTATGCACAGTCTGTGATGCTAGATCTCAGAAATTATGAATATAGGACTTTTATTTCTCTTAAAAGTGAAATGAATTCTGTGTTCTAAAAACCGCTATTATAGTCTATTATAATAAAGAACTTGAGTCATAACCCTGCAACTTGGTTTGTCAAGAGGAACTACATGCATACCTAATAAATATCTGGAAGAAGCATCTTACTGTACTAAAACCTTACTTTTGCCTAGTCTGAAGTAACCTGCAGAATGGAAGGCAAGGAGAAGTTGCAGTCAAGGCAAAAGAGAATCTGGAGTGAACAGAGCTTTGCCTAGGAACAGGTTACAAACCAGCTGAGGGCTTACAGGCAGAGATCGGAGGACAGACCAACATGGGTGGTGCTTTAGTAGCTGTGTGCTACAGACTCCTTGATTGAGAAAGTAGAGGAAGTCTTCTTCTGGCAGCTTGAAGGAACCCAACAATCACAGGCCTTCATGCTCACGGGACACTTCAACCGACCCAGTATCTGCTGTGAGGGCAATATGACAGGATGCAAGGAACGCAGATTTCTAGAATTTGTTGAAGACAATTTCTTTATACAGGCAATCAATTAGTCAACCAGGGGAGATGCTCTACTGAATCTGTTTCTAATAAAGAATGAAGAACTGGTAGAAGATGTGAAGGTTGAGGGTAGCCTTGGCTGCACCAAGCATGAGATTGTGGAGTTTAAAATCTTGAGAGAAGAGAACAAGGCAAGTAGTAGAAGTAGTAGAATCATAACCCTGGACCTCAGGAGAGCAGATTTTAACTTTGTCAGGGATCTTCCGGGCAGGATCCAATGGGCAACTGCCCTGGAGGGCAAAGGGGGCCAGGAATGTTGGCTAATCTTCACGAACAAATTCGTCAAAGCAAAAGAACAGTCCTTTCTGATGTGCAGGAAACAAGCATGATAAGCAAGCCAAAGAACAAGCATGGCAGAAGAGCAATATGGATGAAGAGGAAGCTAGTAATCTCAAACTCAAATGTCAAAAAGGTAATCCACAGAAGATGGGAACAAGGATAGACTAGCCACCAGGGATACAACGGCATTGCTCAACTGTGCTAGGATGGAGTGAGGAAAGCCAAACCTCAGCTGGGTTTGAAACTAGCAATGGATGCAAAGGCATACAAGAAGCAATTCTGCAAGTATGTTGGTAGCTAAAGGAAGGAAAAGAAAATACAAGCTACTGCTCAGTATAGCTTCTGTTACGGAAAACACCGTTTCATCTGCTCACTCTCATAACTTAATTTTAAACTCTAATAACTCTTTGTGTCCTCCAGCTATTGTGTATAGCAGAAAAGATTCTTGTTCAATTTAGCAAAAAATTATTTTCCCTGATTAATGTTTTGATCATAGTATCTTTATCATTCCTGTTATTCTTCCTTCTTTTTACTCTGCACACATGCAAATGTTCTGACAAGCAATACAGATAATAAACACACATTTGTGCCTTTCAGATACCATTCTTTTAGCTATAGTTCTGGCTCTTGTAATTTCTTTTTGGATAGTTGCCTGCCATCATTCGCAAAAGAATAAAATGTTTATATCAAATATATTTTAACTGGTGATGCAGTATGCAGTACTTCCTATACGCTTGCATATTATAGAATCATAGAATCATTTAGGTTGGAAAAGACCTTTAAGATCACCAAGCCTGACTGATATGGGGTACTGGCAGATGAAAAGCTGGACATGAGCCGGTAACGTGCGCTCGCAACCTGGAAGGCCAACCATATCCTGGGCTGCATCCAAAGCAGCAAGGCCAGCAGGTTGAGGGAGGGGATTCTGCCCCTCTCCTCTGCTCTGGTGAGACCCCACCTGGAGTTCTGTGTCCAGCTCTGGAGCCCTCAGCACAGGAAAGGCATGGACCTGTTGGAGCAGGTCCAGAGGAGGCCACAAAAATTATCAGAGGGGTGGAACACCTCTCCTGTGAGGACACGTTGAGAGAGTTGGGGTTGTTCAGCCTGGAGAAGAGAAGGCTCCGGGAGACCTTCTTGCAGGTACTTAAAGGGGGCTGATAAGAAAGATGGTGACAGATTTTTTAGCAGGGCCTGTTGTGATAGGACAAGGGGTAAAGGTTTTAGACTAAAAGAGGGTAGATTTAGACTAGACCTACGGAAGGAATTCTTGACAATGAGGGTGGTGAAATACTGTCACAGGTTGCCCAGAGAGGTGGTAGATGCCCCATCCCTGGCAACATTCAAGGTCAGGTTGGACAGGGCTCTGAGCAACCTGCTCTGGTTGAAGATGTCCCTGCTCACTGGAGGGTGTTTGTACTAGATGGCCTTTATAGGTTACTTTCAACCCAAACTATTCTATGGTTCTATGATAACCCAGCACTGCCAAGTCCACCACTAAACCATGTCATTAAGAACCACATCCACATGTCTTTTAAATACCTCCAGGGATGGTGACTCAAGCACTCTCCTGGGCAGCCTGTGTCAATGCTTCACCACTCAGTGAAGAAATTTTTCCTAATATCCAATCTAAACCTCCCCTGGTGTAACTTGTGGCCATTTCCTCTCATTCTATCACCAATTACTTGGGAAAAGAGGCCAACACCCACCTCGCTACAACCGCCTTTCAGGTAGTTGTAGAGAGCGATGAGGTCTCCCCTCAGCCTCCTCTTCTCCAGACTAAACAACCCCGGTTCCCTCAGTCGATCCTCATAAGACTTGTGCTCCAGACCCCTCACCAGCTTTGTTGCCCTTCTCTGGACACGCTCCAGCAACTCAATGTCCTTCTTGTAGTGAGGGGCCCAACACTGAACACAGTATTCAAGGGGCGGCTTCACCAGTGCCGAGTACAGGGGCACAATCACTTCCCTACTCCTGCTGACCACACTATTGCTGATACAGGCCAGGACGCTGTTGGCCTTCTTGGCCACCTGGGCACACTGCTGGCTCATGTTCAGCCGGCTGTCAACCAGCACCCCCAGGTCCTTTTCTGCTGGGCAGCTCTCCAGCCACTCCTCCCCAAGCCTCTAGCATTGCATGGGGTTGTTGTGACCCACGTGCAGGATACAGCACTTGGCCTTGTTGAACCTTATACAGCTGGCCTCGGCCCACTGATCCAGCCTGTCCAGATCCCTCGGTAGAGCCTTCCTACCTTCAAGCAGATCAACACTCCCACCCAACTTGGTGTCGTCTGCAACTATACTGAGGGTGCACTCAGTACCCTCGCCCAGATCATATCTATACTATAAAGCTGCAAAAAGTTTATATGATTGCTTTGTGAATATGCGGGATTGAGAATATTAAGTACTATATTCTTATTTTAAGTGCCTTCATAGGTATAAACACTTAGCTCCATATAGCTGAAATGAATTTGAGAAGCAGTGACTGCAAGATCAACTCATTGAAGTATTTTCTAACTCTAGTGTGTAGGGTTAGCTGTCTATTTCTAATTATAGTATTTGTCAATATAATTTAAACAGGAAATACACTACCTACCTATTATTTCAATTTTTGTCCTTCAGTGCACCTGTATCTGTTTCTGCTTTGTATATTTTATCAAAGTAGCTCAAATTATTGGGATGTCATATCAAAAGTTAAGCATTTAAATTAAAAGTATTGAATCAAAAGAAATCAAGTTTAAC